TTATCTCGATCCTTGAACCCCACAGAATGAAACTACCAGATCTTTGACCATGAATTATTGGCTGTCATTTGTGCCTTGACAGAATGGTGCCACTATCTCAGAGGAAACCCTCACCCTGTCATCATATTCACTGATCACAAGAACCTCCTCTATTTTTGCACTGCACAAAAATTAACTTGTTGCCAAGCCAGATGGCAACTCCCCCTTTCATGTTATGATATTGAGCTCCATCATGTCCCTGGAATGAAACTCGCTGCACCCAACACTTTGTCATGGCATGCTGATCATGCTCCAACTGAGTCTGATAACGAAGATATGACTCTTCTCCCTGATTCCATGTTTGTCCAACTCCTTGATCAAGAACTCATGACTATGCTTGCATATCCCGACCCTGATGATACTGATCCTATCTTTCAAGCTGCATCTGATGCACTTAATGGCCTCTGCCTTCCTCCCATGAAGTCAGCTCTCTCTGATTGGACAATTAAAGAAGATATCTGTCATATCCCACAATCTGGACCCACATTCCATCATATTCCCACGCCTTCCGAGCCTACATCCAGACCCTATATCCGACTCATTCCCAGATCCCCTTCTGCTGTGTACTCCACACCTCAGCAGGATTGACTATGCTCCGGATTTACCCCTGAGCTCCGGACCTCTGGATCCTCACTGCTAGCCTGATCCATACAACCCTATCCTGTCCACCCTATGCGCACTCCATCCAGCAAGACATCCGGACTTCACCTTGTCTCAGATTCCGGACTATATCCACCTTCTCATATTCCAGTCCTGTATCCACCTTGTCTTCCAGATCCCCAGATCTCCAGACCTCTGGATATTAACTCCAGACCTATTCCCACCCTCTGTCCAATATCCTGTGCCTATCCCCATTTAGGCATTCTCTGCCTTCCAGCTTTCAGTTACCTCTTGTTCTATCTTGCTTATTGATCCTTGTACAAGTCCTCATCTCTGAGTTCATTTACTTATGTTCTGACTTACTTACTAATGTGTTTCCACATGCTCGTACATAGCCTTGCTCCTTTGCTTACTGATCCCCTCAGATATTGTTTAGTATATAACCCCTGTAGGTACTCCTGTAGTTCCTTAGTCTGAATATCACCTTAGACTTGCCCAATCTTCTTCTGGACTTCAGTCCATCTGAGTTTGTCCTTTTCCATAAGGCCTAGGGATGGATTCCCCAGGCCGGAATTCCAGACCTTTGGATTTGTCCCCTATGTCTCTATCCCAAGTCTAGGGATTGCTTCCCTAGGCTGGAGTCTTGCCTTTCTGGCACTTACCCCCTTTCTGGACTTAGGTCCACTTCCTGTCCCTCTGACTCTACCTTAGGATAGTCTACCTCTGCTTGCTTCTGCATCGGACTTCATCTGATGTAGCCCCTATTCCTTCCGGACCTCCTATCCTTCCATCCTGTTTTCCTGTAGAAGTATTACCTTGCAGTGGGAACTCTCCTGAGCACTTCCCGCGCTCCTCCAGAACTCTCCTGCGCTCCTCCAGAACTCTCCCACACTCTTCCAGAACTCTCCCGCACTCCTCCGGACGTTTCCCACGCTCCTCCGGAAGTCCTCCCACACTCTCCACCAGAGTAGCCAGCCTCTGGAAGTCCTCCAGACTTCATTGGACCATCATTGGACTTCCTCTGAAATGAAGGGCACATACTCAGGTAAGGGGCACAGCGTATGAGCTGAGGCCAAGCCCCTCTGAGTCAGTCTCTCTCCCCCTTGAGCAACATGGTTCTTAACAATATCCTGTATTACAAAGATCACACATATGTTTGCCCTGTGGGACAGTGCGCTATTCTTGACTGCACTCATGATCATGCTACTGCAGGCCATCCTGGTTGTTTCAAAACAGAAGAACTTGTCAAACATGACTTTTGGTGGCCTTCCATGGGTACCTATATTCGGAAATATGTCAAAGGTTGTGCCCTTTGTCAGCAAATGAAATCTGATACCCACCCCACAACACCTCCCCTTGTGCCAATCCCCTCTGCTGCCATGACACCCTTTGCCCAAGTCTTGGTTGATCTTATCACTGATCTCCCTCCTTGCACTGGCTTTGATTCTATCATGGTCATGGTAGACCATGGGCTTATGAAGGGGGTAATTCTCATCCCCTGTATAGAAACCATCACCTCAGAAGGTGTCACAAAGAAGTTTTTCAAATATGTTTATCACCACTTTGGACTCCATGAAAAAGTCATCTCAGACCACAGGCCACAGTTCATCTCCAAGTTTTCTAAAGCTCTTGCTAAGCTTTTGAAATATGATATCACCACATTCACCACTTATCACCCACAAACTGATGGACAAATGGAACACCTTAATCAAGAATTGGAAACATACCTTCATATCTATTGCTGCAATAATCTCAAAGATTGGGTGGAACACCTTCTCATGTCTGAATTTGTCCACAACCACTGGAAACACGACTCCTGCAACACATCACCATTCTTCCTTATGATAGGATATGAGCCCAGAGCTCTACCTCACATTCTACCCGATTCCACCATTCTCACTGCAGAAGAACGACTCTGCCTTCTACAAAAGATAAGAGAAGAAGCTATCTCCTGCCATAACCTGGCAATGCAGCACATGGCTGCACAATTATATGGAAAGAAGTATCAACCATGGAAGGTCGGTGATAAGGTTTGGTTGTCAGGAAAGAACCTTATCACATAACTACCATCAAAGAAGCTTGCTCCAAAGCAATATGGTCCCTTTATGGTGAAAGTCATACTTTCCCCAATCACATTCACACTCCAACTACCGGAACAATGAAAGGTTCATCCCACATTCCACGCTTCTGAGCTATCTTCCTATCACAAAACTGAAATCCATGGTCTGAACTTCCATGATCCTCCCCCAGACATCATAGATAACAAAGAAGAATATGAAATTGACACTATCCTATCACATAAAGGCATGGGTACACAAAGATGCTATCTGGTATCCTGGAAAGGATATTCCTCTGCCAGTAATGAATGGATTCCAGAAGAGAATCTCAGTAATGCCTCAGATGTCCTCTCTGCATATAAGAAAACTCACCAATTATAACCCCAAAACAATGACCTCTTCCTTTGAAAGATTACAACACTGCCTACTCCACCTTCAACACCTTACCACTGCTATGAACCTCACCTCTGAAAACATTACCTCCCCATCCTTGACTGAAACCACTTTATCCAGTGATTTGTCCCTCATTGATTACTTCACTATCCTCAATGAAATTGAGAACAACACCCTCTTTGAATCTGCCATCACATCCCTACAATATGCTATTGAGATAGATCAACTCTTAGGAGAAACTGGAGCAATCTCTAGTGGACTCCTCATCAACGTCATCAGATCCGCCAGTCTCATTGAGCAAACGGCTAACCTCATTGACGATGATTGTCACAAAACCATCTTCTGCCACCCTCATATATGCATTTGCAATACTGCAATCCATCTGTTGCCTTCTAGTACTAAAAAAGCTATCAGAGAGGCTATCCATATCATCACTGAATGAATCACTGCAAACCCAGTTGCATGACCCCCATCTCCACACATTGCAATCCCCATCCCACTGCCAGTTCTTCCATCACCTACCATTGAGTGTACAAATAGTATTCTCAATCCTGCTGCTGTACCTTTCATACCAGCTTCTCCTGCTCCTACCCCCATCATGCCCACTACTCGCTGATACCCCACAAGACAAAGATCATCTCAGGTCAAGCGAGAACCATCCGTTTCACCCACTGTTAGAAATCACAAATGACACTCTAGATCCCCATCACCACTGCCGCAGTCCTCCACTGTCACCACTGTAAAAGTAGAAACCATTGACAATGTCATGTGTTGTAGCTGCCATGTCACTGGCCATCATCATAAGAAATGCCCCAACTATTATTGCTGAGTTTGCAAGGAGTATGCACCTGGTCACTTATCGGTCTTCTGTAAAGACTTGAAGGGTGAAGCAGTTATCCCATTGATCTGGACTGATCTGGGTTTTTACGAAGCTCTCTCCCATTGGGAAACTGAGCAGGATGCTATCTACCATGCTGAAGAAATAGCTGAAGACTTGCAATGGAATAATGACATGATCACTGGTCAATTGTCCATTACTGAAGAGCAGGATGACCTGTTGGATTCTAACTATGATGCTGACCCTGTCTACTGGGCTAACCAGGATAACTAAAGTTGGTGACTTTGTCACTAAACGAGGGGTAATGTTACAGTCGACGTATGCCCCTATTCATTTTCTCTTAACCCTTACCTTGTATTATGTCACATGCTACATATTGCCACCACTAGACTTATCTCTGACTCGTCTTATCTCTGACTCACATTGTATTACACCACAATCACTATCGCCATCGCTAGGTGATCTATTCTTGCTATCTCTGACTCATCTTCAATCCCATGCCTGCCCTAAAGCACCTGTAGTTCACTATATATAGTTCACCTGGTACACTGTAGTTCTGCACTTAATCTTACTAGGTTTTACCTGGAACTTCCTTCATTTAAGACCTCCAATCTTAAGTTGTCTGAACATTGATATTCAAGTTGAGGACACTCTCCTTGCCTTGTCTTATGACCCTTGCATTTGCAAGGTCTTGAACCGACTCTAGCCATTGCTCTTATTGAGCTGCTATTGTCTTAACTATCCTAGTTCATAACAAAGCTTGAAGTTCATTAGCCAAATGAATTTGAGGAGAAGGAAAAAAATGAATTTGTTTTGGCATTTCCAATGAATGATCAGCATCCTGTCCTAAGGATTAGTTGGATTGTGATTTGAAGAAGAAGAAAAAAACATACTTCAGTGAATGCATAATCATGCATATATGCATGTGGACTGTCTTGAACAAGACAACGTACTCAATCAATGCGAAATTGATCTGGTGGAATAACACAATCATGCAGGGGAAGAAGGTTGTATGCCATTACAATATTCTGCTGTGCAATGGTCATCATCATGGGGCACACCACCATCACTGCTCACCAAATCATTGAAATGTCCTTCTGGGCAGCCAGCCATTGAGTTAGCCCTACCTCTTAATCAGCATCAGTTACAAGAGTCATCAGTGAACTTACCACAAAGGCTTGGTATGGAGGGCACTGCTTTATTGATCATTTCTGTGATGATGTGGTTTTGGTCCATGGAAGATGATGTGATTGTGTTAGAGGTAAAAACAATGCCTTTGATCTTGTCCCTTGAGAGGCTATGGACTTGCTTGTGGGCTGCTGCACTAACTTTGGGCTGGACATCACCACCAACCAATGTTGCAGCCTCCAAGGATGGACTGGTAGTAGCTGTAGCTGTGAGAGTGGGAGTGCATGTCAAGTGTGAGAGTAGGCTGGTGGTAGCTGCAGGAGTGGGAGTGCATGCTGAGTGTGTAGGTATGAAGTAAGGTGCCAATGATGGCATTGGGGGCATGCATTGGGAGTGTCAGTGTCTTTCAGAAGATCTTGCAGGACCTAATGTCTAGTAACAATATTAAAATGTGTCATGAGCTATAGAAGAAAAAACTTACATGTATAACATTGGAAGCCAGTATTTCATCCACTGTTGGATTGTATGTCAGCGCACACTCAGCATCAGCATTGCTGCCCAGCCAATGGGGTATGGGTCTGGTAAGTTGGGTTGGCACTATGGGCACTGGGTCTGGCACTGGGGTTGGCACTATGTCTGATGGGTCAGGTGCTGAATGTGACAAATTTGTTAGAGGTAGTTTTCAATAACAAAAGAATACATACATGAGATGAACAAGAGAGCATTGTAGTTGATGGTTGAGGGAGCGCCAGCTGGGCCATAGCTGGCACCAGACAACAAGTTGCTGTAGCCAGCACTAGGCAGTGAGTTGCTATAGCTGATGTAGCTGTTGAAGCTGTTAAGGTTGCGTGCTCAAGGGGGTCAGATCACAAGGGCTTGGCCTCAGCTCATGTGCTGTGCCCCTTTCCTGAGTATGTGCCCTTAATTTCCGGGGGCTAGAACAGTTGTCTGGAGTTTCTGGGATTTGACTAGGGCAGACAATGGACGTCTGGATCTGAAACATGAGATAAATCTGACAGATGTCCAGATGTTACTTGGACAAGCAGATAAGACTAATCCAGACGAAGTCTGGACTAGAAACTAACAGAGGATAGACTACCCTAAGGTAGAGTCGGAAATGTAGTCTAGGATGCAATCCTAAGACTCAGAATATGACAGGAGACTTGGCTTGAGTCTGGAGGACACAGGAATGAGCAGGAACTAAGATGATATTCGAACTGGAGTATTTCCAAGAGTTACAGGAGGTTTATATACTGTAGGTATCATATAGGAATCAGTCAGCAAACATAAAGGCTATGTATGAAACATATGCAAAGTCTATTAGTAAGTAGGACAGATCACAAATAATGAACACTGGAAATGAAATGTATGTAACGGATCAATAATCAGAAGGAAACATAGTTAACCAGAGTCTGGAGACAGGGGAAGTCTAAATGGGGTTGGGCACTGATATAGGGTTTGGATTCCAGAAGGAAGATAAAGATAGATCAGATCATTGGAGATCTGGATCTCAGATCTGGATATCCAGAGAAGCAGATTTAGAGTTGAGAGTCTGAAATGGCATATGACAGAAGCTAGCACTTGAGGGACCTGAATAGCCATAGTTTAAATGGCCTGTGCATCAGGAAAATGTGATATGGCTATATAGCAATCTATAGCACTATAAGATGCTATATAGGGGCCATAGAGCCATAGCTCATATAACCAAGTGCCCAATTGTGTAGGCTAGTTACAGCAATATATAATGTGCTATAGTGTGCTATAGTACCATACAATAGTATGGTAACTATATCCTACTATATAGATGACCAACATCAGACCCATTTCAAGCTATCTTGGTAGCTACTTTGTTGCCATTGTAGCTCTCAAAACCAAAAAAAGCGAAAATTTCAAGTTATATTTCAAGTAACTACTACAACACATGTAAACTACTAACTACCAAGGAGGCAAAAATGCGAAAATTACAGGAGGCAGAGGTAAGATAGCTAGAAAGAAGAATCAGAAAAGAAAGGTGAAAACACAAGAAAGACTTGCCAAATAATCAAAAATGCGAAAATTATTGAGGGGGAGGAGGGAAAAGAGCTAGAAGAAGGAAAGGGTCAAAGAGGAAGGAGAAGAAGAGAGAAAGACTTACCAAATAGTCAAAAATGCGAAAATGATTGAATGGAAGGAAGGAAGGAAGAAAAAGAGAGACAGAAAGACTTACTACCTAATAGTCAAAAATGCGGAGCTAGAAGAAGGAGAGGTCAGAGAGGGAAGGAGGATAAGAGAGAAAGCAGAAGAAACACTTACCAGATAGTCACTTGGCCTGCTAGAGATTTAAGTGGTACATGACGAAGTAGACAAGTGGACTTACTGGTTGTGTGCATCAAAGGGGGGCTCCTACTGGTGTGGATTGAAGCTGGTCATTGGAGGTTGTGGTTGTTCATCAGGAAGATTGATCTGCATGTCCACAGATACATGGGAAGGGTTGAGACTGGACCCTCAAGCAGGTTTCAGAATCATCATTTTACCTTTGCACTGCAGGGCACATCTGCTAGTCATACAGGAAGAATCATCTGGGGGAGGGAAAAGAGCAATCAATTACAATTCTAATACAAATGAAAACAAACAATACATCTTGTGACTCAATGATGTACTTGTGACTGTGAGTTAAAGAAGCAGAGAAATGAAGGGGTAAGGATGTAAAAAAAGTGTGCATATGACAAACCAATAGAATCAGGAAAGGGGCCATGATAAAAGAACGACATGTGTATTACAACATTCCTTATCAATTGATCAGCATGGTATAATGAATGGACACATGTACACCACTTACCATGATAAGAAGGCCAATAGCCTATGGTGTGGTAGCCATGCATGATCCTTCAGTATGAGCACCAAGGTTTTCAGTAAAATCCATGTAGGCTCCTGGATATATTGAATTGTCTTCATCATGATCAAGAACCCCACTGCCAGTGGGGGATCCAGATCCATTGGCCCTGGATTTCACAGATGCCTTGCTGACATTGTCATCATCATTGACAACCCCAGGTTCAGATGAAGGGAATCTGGGTGCTCCAATTGGAAAGCTTTACTGACACACAAGCCTAAAACCTTTGCCACATGCTTAGCTTGGGACAAGACAATCCTAAGGATTTCACATTTGTCCTCATAGTGTCATATCCCATATGCCAGACATAGATCCCATCATATTCCCACGCTTTCCGGACCTATTTCCGGACCCCATATCCAACTCATTCCTGGATCCCCTATCCTGTCCACCCTACACACATTCTGTCCAGCAAGACATCTGGACTTTACCTCCTCTTGGATTCTGGATTACATCCACCACCTCACATATCTCAGTCCTGTTTCCACCCTGCCTTCCAGATCTCCAGATCTCTGGACCTCCAGATATTAACTGTTACTATCTCCAGACCTATTCCTGCCCTCTATCCGAGATCCTGCACCTATCCCCATTTAGGCATCTCCGCCTTTCTGGTTCTCAGTTATCTCTGTTTCTGTCTTGCTGATTGATCCTTGTACTAGTTTCATCTCCAAGTTCATTTACTTATGTTCTGTCTTACTTACCAATGTGTTTCCACATGCTCGTACATAGCCTTACTCCTTTGCTTACTGATCCTCTTGGATAGCCTCTAGTATATAACCCCTGTACAACTACAGTAGAGTCCTCAGTCTGAATATCACCTTAGACTTGCCCAATCTTCTTCCAGACTTCAGTCCATCTGAGTTTGTCCTTTTCCATAAGGCCTAGGGATGGATTCCCTAGGTCGGAATTCCAGACCTTCGGATTTGTCCCCTATGTCTCTGTCCCAAGTCTAGGGATTGCTTCCCTAGGCTAGAGTCTTGCCTTTCCAGCACTTACCCTCTTTCTGGACTTAGGTCCACTTCCTGTCCCTCCGACTCTACCTTAGGGTAGTCTACCTCTGTTTGCTTCTGCATTGGACTTCATCTGATGTAGCCCCTATTCCTTCCAGACCTCTGGACATCCTGTCCCTCATACCTCCGGGCATCCTGTCCTTCAGACGTTCCGTCCTCCATACCTCCATGTCCTGTCCTCCGGACCTCCAGACCTCCTGTCCTCCATACTCCAGACCTCCAGACATCCTGTCCTCCTGTCCTCCGGACCTCCTATCCCTCCATCCTGTTTTCCTGTAGAAGTATTACCTTGCAGTGGGAACTCTCCTGAGCACTTCCTGCATTCCTCTGAAACTCTCCCGCACTCTTCCGGACATTTCCCATGCTCCTCTGGAAGTCCTCCTGCACTCTCCACCAGAGTAGCCAGCCTCTGGAAGTCCTCCGGACTTTGTCGGACCATCATTGGACTTCCTCTGAAATGAAGGGCACATACTCAGGTAAGGGGCACAGCATACGAGCTGAGGCCAAGCCCCTCTGAGTCAGTCTCTCTCTCCTTTGAGCATGGTTCTTAATACATAGACTGCTTGAAGGTAGTCTCTGTCATCGTCAACTTCTGTATGGTCATGCTCAGAAAAGAGGCTCCTAAAGTTGTGTAACCGGTCTTCTGTGAACTTGAGCTGGTCTTTGTTGTTGACATGGATGGCTTCAAGGAACACAATGAAGTGCTCAGCTTCTTCAATTTCCCATGCAGTTGCCAGCATGCACTGGCACACAGTCTCACAAGTAGCCAGCTGTGTTTGATATTCTTTGTATAGTATTGAAGGACATATTTGCCTGAGGCCGTTTTCTAGGTGTCCAGCATGCTTTGTAAAATATCAATGAGTCTTTGGAACTGGATAATATACATATATGATACCTTGAGAAGAGATTTGCTGGATACATGTGGTCTGCATTCTTGCCCTATAACACAAGCTGCAAAACAAACCTTGAGTGGAGCTGGATCAGACGGGTATGGAATGAACTTCCTGCTTATTCTGTCACATATGAGCTGACATTGAGCACTGTGGGAAAGGTCTGGAGATGCTGATAGATTATAAAATAAGCTGTCTGACCCTTTAGTAGCAGAAGCCATAGTCATAGGTGGCAGTGTCTTCTCCACTGAGGAGATGCCTTTGAGTGAAGTAGATAGTTCAGAATGTCTGGTGTCAGGGGAGCTGCCTGAGATATGTGTGGAATTGAAAAGAGGTGACCCAGGAGTTGAAGAACATCTTGATAGAGGAGATGATGGGGGACTGCTTGATGGAGGGGGATGAGTTGGAGATGAAGGTGGAAGTGAGGGGGGCATGCTGGGTCCTGGAGTGACTGAAAAAAATCACCTATGTTTATGTGCTAAAGAGTTTGTCTCTCTGCCCTTAGTGTCTCTGGCTGTCAATGCAGCTGATAATACCAATACACTGTGAATACAGTCAGCCTGCATAAAGTGGAGTTTGAAAGACTTGGTGAATTCTTGACTG